CTGCAAGCGCGGGCCCTGCTCTCGGTGCCCGGACTTGGCTCCGCGCTCTGCTTCCCGGGCCTCGGCGGGGCCACGCTGCGCTGGGTCCGCACCGCCCTCACCACCTTCCCTGCCTGCCGCTGCCAGGCGCGCCCCGGGCCCCGCTGCCCGCGCCGTCCTGTCTGCCTGCGCTTGATGTGCGCCCTGGGGCGCGCTGCCGGCGCCGTCTCGTTGGGGCTGGCGCTAGAGGCGGCCGCCGGGAAGCCCTCGTCTCCGTCGCCGCCAAGCCTGCCCCGTGCTGGGGCGGGGGCGGCGCGGCGGGCCCGACGGGGAGCGGGCGGCAGCGCGAGCCCGCAGTTTCCGCTGCCTAGCTACCAGGTGTCCGTTCCCGAGAACGAGCCGGCGGGCACGGCGGTCATCGAGCTGCACGCGCTGGACCCTGACGAGGGCGAGGCAGGGCGCCTGAGCTACCAGATGGAGGCGCTGTTTGACGAGCGCTCCAACGGCTACTTTCTCATTGATGCCGCCACGGGCGCGGTGAGCACGGCCCGCGCGCTGGACCGCGAGACCAAGGACACGCACGTGCTTAAGGTGAGCGCTGTGGACCATGGCTCGCCGCGGCGCTCGGCCGCTACCTACCTCACCGTCACGGTCAGCGACACCAACGACCACAGCCCGGTCTTTGAGCAATCTGAATACCGTGAGCGCGTGCGCGAGAACCTCGAGGTGGGCTACGAGGTGCTGACCATCCGCGCCACCGACGGGGACGCGCCCTCCAATGCCAACATGCGCTACCGCCTGCTGGAGGGCGCAGGCGGCGTCTTTGAGATCGACCCACGCTCTGGCGTGGTGCGCACGCGGGCTCCGGTGGATCGGGAGCAGGCGGCCGAGTACCAGTTGCTGGTAGAAGCCAACGACCAGGGCCGCAACCCGGGCCCGCTCAGTGCCACGGCCACCGTTCACATCACTGTGGAGGACGAGAACGACAACTATCCGCAGTTCAGTGAGAAGCGCTACATGGTCCAGGTGCCCGAGGACGTGGCGGTCAACACGCCGGTGCTGCGCGTGCAGGCCACGGACCAGGACCGGGGCCAGAACGCAGCCATCCACTACAGCATCATCAGCGGGAACCTGAAGGGGCAGTTCCACCTGCACTCCCTGAGCGGGAGCCTGGACGTCATCAACCCGCTGGACTTCGAGGCCGTCCGCGAGTACACGCTGCGCATGAAGGCCCAGGATGGGGGCCGGCCTCCGCTCATCAACTCCTCGGGGCTGGTGGCCGTGCAGGTGCTGGACGTGAACGACAATGCACCCATCTTCGTGAGCAGCCCCTTCCAGGCCGCCGTGCTGGAGAACGTGCCCCTGGGCCACTCGGTGCTGCACATCCAGGCGGTGGACGCGGACGCGGGTGAAAACGCCCGTCTGCGCTACCGCCTGGTGGACACGGCCGGTGCGGGAGGCGGTGGTGCTGGGCCTGAGGACCCCGCCCCCGGCCCGGACTTCCCCTTCCAGATCCACAACAGCACGGGGTGGATCACAGTGTGCGCAGAGCTGGACCGCGAGGAGGTGGAGCATTACAGCTTTGGGGTGGAGGCGGTGGACCATGGCTCACCGCCCATGAGCTCCTCGGCCAGCGTGTCCATCACGGTGCTGGACGTCAACGACAATGACCCGGTATTCACACGGCCTGTGTACGAGCTGCGTCTGAATGAGGACGCGGCGGTGGGCAGCAGCGTTCTCACCCTGCAGGCCCGGGACCGGGACGCCCACAGCGTGATCACCTACCAGCTCACTGGGGGCAACACCCGGAACCGCTTCGCCCTCAGCAGCCAGAGCGGCGGCGGCCTCATCACCCTGGCCCTGCCGCTGGACTACAAACAGGAACGGCAGTACGTGCTGGCGGTGACCGCATCTGACGGCACCCGCTCGCACACGGTCCAGGTCTTCGTCAACGTCACTGACGCCAACACCCACCGGCCCGTCTTCCAGAGCTCCCACTACACGGTCAGCGTCAGCGAGGACCGGCCCGTGGGTACCTCCATTGCCACCATCAGTGCCACCGACGAGGACACGGGGGAGAACGCCCGCATCACCTATGTGCTGGCGGACCCCGTGCCACAGTTTCGCATCCATCCCAGCACGGGCACCATCTACACCCTGATGGAGCTGGACTACGAGGACCAGGCCGCCTACACGCTGGCCGTCACTGCTCAGGACAATGGCATCCCTCAGAAGTCCGACACCACCTCCCTGGAGATCCTCATCCTGGACGCCAATGACAACGCACCCCGCTTCCTGCGTGACTTCTACCAGGGCTCCGTCTTCGAGGATGCGCCGCCGTCCACCAGCGTGCTCCAGCTCTCTGCCACCGATCGGGACTCGGGCCCCAACGGCCGTCTGCTGTACACCTTTCAGGGTGGGGACGACGGTGACGGGGACTTCTACGTCGAGCCCACGTCTGGCGTGATCCGCACCCAGCGCCGGCTGGACCGGGAGAACGTGGCTGTGTACAGCCTCCGGGCTCTGGCTGTGGACCGGGGCAGCCCAGCACCCCTGAGTGCCTCGGTGGAGATCCAGGTGACCGTCCTGGACATCAATGACAACCCCCCGGTGTTTGAGAGGGACGAGCTGGAGCTCTTTGTGGAGGAGAACAGCCCGGTGGGGTCGGTGGTGGCGAGGATCCGTGCCAATGACCCCGACGAAGGCCCCAACGCCCAGATCATGTATCAGATCGTGGAAGGCAACGTGCCCGAGGTCTTCCAGCTGGACCTGCTCAGCGGGGACCTGCGCGCCCTGGTTGAGCTGGACTTTGAGGTCCAGCGAGAGTACGTGCTGGTGGTGCAGGCCACGTCCGCCCCGCTGGTGAGCCGGGCCACCGTGCACGTCCGTCTGCTGGACCAGAACGACAACCCGCCGGTGCTGCCCGACTTCCAGATTCTCTTTAACAACTACGTCACCAACAAGTCCAACAGCTTCCCCAACGGCGTCATCGGCCGCATCCCGGCCCGTGACCCCGACCTCTCCGACAGCCTCAATTACACTTTCCTGCAGGGTAACGAGCTGAGGCTGCTGCTGCTTGACCCGGCCACGGGCGAGCTGCAGCTCAGCCGCGATCTGGACAACAACCGGCCGCTGGAGGCGCTCATGGAGGTGGCCGTGTCAGGTGAGCGGTCGGGGCAGGAGGAGCTGCTCTGTGGGGACGTGCAGGGGCCCCACCCGGCGTGCTGGGGCGCATCCCGACAGGGCCCGGCAGTTCTCTGGGGACTTGAGCTCCGCATGGTGCCCGGAGTACCCCCCGCCCGGGGCCTGGCAGGTGGGAGAGGCCTACGCTGCTTCATGAGCGTTTTGGCTGGGAGCAGGCGTGGGCTTTTTCAAGTTCAAGGCCTCGGCTCCTTGGCGCTTTTCTCAGCAGGCCGGTGGCTCCTGTGTCCTGCTGTTAAAACCTGGCCTCCGGGGTGATGGGCCGTCTGGTTTGACTGGCAAGTCTCCCAGCCACATGAGAAGATCAAAGGTCACTGTCCACCCCACGTGCCAATTAGTTTTCGGGTGGGACCATTGGAAATTGCCGGACGGGTCCCTGAGTCACCCTGTAATGCAGCCGCGGCTCTCAGGGACTTCTTCGGTCTCGCTTTTCTGTCTCCTGCAGATAATAACAGTCGGGTTTACGTGCGCTTGCTTTGTGTGGAAAGCAGAGCCTCGTTTGATCTTGGCTGTGGCGCTTGCACATGGGCTTATAATTTGGGTGTTACTTAAGAGACCTGCCCAGGTTGGTGGTGGAGTCGGTGTGGGAACCCTCCTCGCCCGGCCCTGGGGCTGGAGGTGAGCAGCCGGGGAGGAGAGCTTGGCTGGGCCAGCCGAACACTTGGAGACAGAACAGTGCCCACACCAAAGCCCCAGTGGGCCTGCAGTGCTCGGGGGTGGGGATTGCAAGGCATGGAAGAGAGCGAAGGATTTCGGGGTGCAATAAAGGGCCCCCAGCACCTCTCTGGGAGGGTCTGCTTGCCCCTCCACCCAGGGGTGTGAGCCACTGGGGCAGGTGGGCGACCTTAGCAATGAGACCAAAACATCCCCCAGAACAAGCTCAGGTCTGTGGTGGTTGGAGCCAGTGTTAAAGATGAGTTCTTTAAACCAGAAATGATCACCATACTGTATCTCCAGGGAGCTCTGGAAGAATTGACAAAGTTTTTTGAATTACTTTGTTTCCATAGCTGGCTGAAATTCCTTCTTTCTGAGGGTTGGGTAGCGAACAGGTTCCAGTTGTGGCTGTTTGCTCATGAGATCTGGAGCTTCTGGGCCCCACTTGGAAGTGTTGCAATATGTCAGCATAGATTTGGCGGCATCGTCTCTCCGCAGGGGAACATTTTCGGTTTCGGGAGGTGGTGAGCATGTATGGGGAATACGGAAGAGGCCCTTAGCCGGAGGTGCCGACCAGCGTCACGGCCACTCAGAGCAATGCCCTAGTAAAAATAAAAGTTACAGATGGCACAAGACAGTTTCTATCCTAAATTCCCACTTGCGTTTTCTTACCCTTTTTTTTTTTCCCCAATTCTATTCTACTTCTGCAGCAGTCTTTTCCTTTCCTTGATAAAATGTAGTGGGAGCTTTGGCCAGTGTAAAAATAGTTTGGCAGAATAATAGGGTTTTGATTTTATGTGGAGATGGTGCTTTTAGTGGGAACGAGTCCTCCCCGGAAGCAGGGATGTTGTGTGACTTGAGCATGAGGAATGTGGACGGCCATCCTGGTGGGCCCACAGGGGGGACCACAGTCGGAGGAGGGTCGGGGGCTCCACGTCAAGTAGTAAACTGTCTCAGTGATCCAGCCCCTGGCTCTGCATCCTTTGCCAGCACACTCTTATAAGAACCAGACACTGGGGCCTCGTGTGTCCGTCCCCCCAGATAGCAACGATGACCTTTTCCTGGGTTCTTAGGGGGTATCAGTCCGTTTTCTACCTTGTTTTTATGCTGTCGTTTATTTCTCCGGGAACTGTGAGGGGGAGTGGTGGTAAGCTGCTGCTGCCGTTTTACAGATGACGAAACTGAGGCTCAGAGCCGTTGAGTGACTTTCTCAGTGCCACACAGGATTACAGCCCTAGGGGTGCTGGAGGGAACAACGGGGCTGTCTGTTAGGTTTTATGGGAGTGATTCCAGGAAAGGCTGTGTGCCTGTAGTGGAGGAGCCTGTTGAGGATGGTGCTTCTGGGGGCAGTGCACCTGGGGGCGGTGCACCTGAGTGTGGTGTACCTGAGTAGGTTACACCTGGGGGGTGGTGTACCAGGGTAGGTTACACCTGGGGGTGGTGTACCTGGGTAGGTTACACCTGGGGGCGGTGCACCTGGGGGCAGTGCACCTGGGGGTGGTGTACCTAGGTGGGTGCACCTGGGGGTGGTATACTTGGGTAGGTTGCATCTGGGGGCGGTGTACCTGAGTAGGTTGCACCTGGGGGCGGTGTACCTGGGTAGGTTGCACCTGGGGGCAGTGCACCTGGGGGAGCTATATCTGGGTGTGGTGTACCTGGGTAGGTGCACCTGGGGGTGATGTACCTGGGTAGGTTGCACCTGGGGGCAGCACACCTGGGGGCAGTGCACCTGGGAGAGCTACACCTGGGGGTGGTGTACCTGGGTAGGTGCACCTGGGGGTGGTATACTTGGGTAGGTTGCACCTGGGGGTGGTACTCCTGGGGGTGATGTACCTGGGTAGGTTGCACCTGGAGGCGGCTCACCTGGGGGAGCTACACCTGGGGGTGGTATACCTGCTTAGGTTGGGGGCAGTGCACCTGGGGGAGCTACATCTGGGGGCAGTGCACTTGAGGGTGGTGTACCTGAGTAGGTGCACCTGGGGGTGGTGTACTTGAGTAGGTGCACCTGGGGGTGGTATATCTGGGTAGGTTGCACCTGGGGGCAGTGCACCTGGGGGCAGTGTACCTGGGGGAGCTACACCTGGGGGTGGTGTACCTGGGTAGGTGCACCTGGGGGCAGTGCATCTGGGGGAGCTACACCTGGGGGTGATGTACCTGGGTAGATTGCACCTGGGGGTGCTGCACCTGGGAGAGATACACCTGGGGGCAGTGCACCTGGGGGAGCTACACCTGGGGGTGGTGTACCTGGGTAGGTGCAACTGGGGGCAGTGTACCTGGGGGAGCTACACCTGGGGGTGGTGTACCTGGGTAGGTTGCACCTGGGGGCAGTGCACCTGGGGGTGGTATACTTGAGTAGTTTGCACCTGGGGGTGGTGTACCT